GTAAAATTGTATTGCCAATCAATGAATACAAAATATACAAATTTTATAATATAAAGTATACAAACTTGACTAAAAAATATTACAAATCAAAATATATACAAATTAGTAATATAAACATTACAAACACAATAGACAAATATGACAAACTAGAATAATAAACGATACAAACCGAATTAATATAAAGTTACAAACTGGACTTATAAACATTACAAAATATATCGACAAACATCACAAATTCACCACTGTTGCCAGAAAATCCTCCTGCGCCGTCTCTGATTGTCGAAAAACCGACCGGAAAAAACTCTCTCTCTCCAAAAAACCCCCAGGCCACTCCCATTTCCAAGAAAAGGACGGAAGAGCTCTCTTGTTGGCAAAAAAATCCCAGGCCGCCAGGATTAATTCCCAAAAAATCCGTCAGAGTTCCCAGAAAAGGACCGGCTCAAGACACGTCTGGTTGGCGGGGAGGTGAACGGACGTGCAGGTTAATTAATTTGTAAATTGTTTAATAATTAAAAATATAAAAAAAAATCCTGCACTTACCAAATTATTTTAAGTCATTAAATTTTAATAAGGTGGGAAAGCTGAGATTCACTTAGTTACGTGACTAAAAAGACCCTTTAGTCACTTTAACTTAGCCCATCTAAATTGATATTTTAGCCATGCAAGTTTTCTTTGCCACCAGGAACCTAGTCGGTAGCACTTCCATATATGTAAACCTAATGCATATGAACATTCTCGAAAGCACTTTGCCAATGCAATATTTGGATATTGTGGCCCCCTTAGGATAACAGATCTTTCATTCTTTTCGGTCAAGACGATGGATGAGCAAACCAAATCCAACCTCTTTTGAACTTTTGCCTTTCAAGCTTTTAAGTAATGCACAATGGGAGATGACACAAGAGGATAGACACTAATTACTTAGCATGTTATTTTGGCCCCAGTGAAAAAGTTTCCCAGTCATCACTGACCTCTTTTGACACCACACAACTTCACTAAGGCCGACGTCTGAAATCCCTTTTTTCACCAAACTTTGGGCCAAATTTTTTTTTTTTTTTTTTTTTTGTGAGAACTTTGGGTCAATTTGATTTGACTGTAAAGTAGCTAGTGGGTAAAGAAAAAGGTTGAAACTTGAAAGGCTAAATTACACGTTTGGTCACTCGAATTACATAAATATTTTACGTTTGCCACTCGAATTACTTTTCTTTTTTATTTACCACTAACTTTACGAATCGTTTCACCGTTGGTCACCGACCGTTAGTTTTCGTTAGACACTGTTAACTCCGTCAGTTTTCTGATGATGTGGTAAACAGAAATGCTGACTGGACCGTTAACTTAGTGACATGTAATTTAAAAAAAAAATTGACCGCCTGGTCAGCCTCACCCAACCCAATCAACAGTACAATTTCTAAATTCCCTTTCCTCTTCCATCCATCGCCGATCTCTGGAAATGGAGCCATCGCCTTCCACCGCCCCGCCGGCTACAACCACCGATGGGTCTAAGCTGCCTCATGTAGTTACGGATGCCACATAATCCCGCGCCCTTGAACCAATTCTCTCTTCTACGCCGGCGGCGACACCCGCATTATCACAGTCCCTACCACCCCCACGCATTGTCGCCATCCTCCGTCTCGGAACACCGTTCGCTCTCAGAAGTCGCGTCTTTCGAATTGGGGAATTGGGGATCCGGATCAGAGAGAAAGAGGGGCGGAGACGATCCGTCGTCGCCACTCGCCACCATCAACCTCTGTTGCCCACAACCAAAACCCATCCCCTTCCTTCGCCGCCCTCAATTTCAATCTCAAGCACGACGACTCATCCCCCTCCACAGTAGACGACGAATTGGACGCTGAAAAAAGGGGTGATGATGATAGAAAAGGAAGGGATGTTTGAGAAGTCGTCGACTCCATCCGATGTGGGGAAGCTACTCGGGATTTTGCTTGTAGGGATTTGACCGGATAGCAAGTTGTGGGTGGGGTCGATAGACTGTACCAATGCAGGACTAGGCGATTTAGGGATGAAGATGGTTCCGGTAAGGGAATTTCGAGAGGAGCTAGAGGTTTGGAGGGTCGACAATGAAGGAGGGATTGAGCCATTGAGGCGATTGTCGGCTAGGGAGACAGATGCTGCCTAAGCTCGAATGGATGGGGCCTGCGAGGGAAGATAGCTTAAGGCGGCAACAACTGTGGGGGAGATGGCGGGATCCCCAACACCGGCTTCAATTGCGAGATCCACAGCTAGCGAACGCTCCCGGATCCGGCAGAGGTGAGCTTCATGTTGTTGCCATCATCAACACGGCGACGGAGTGGCGCCTCCTGGACGAAGAACAGAGGAAGGTTGAGAGGAGGTCTCAAGGGTTTGGGGATTTCTTTCAGATGATTCGGACGGCGGCGAGTGGAGGAGAAGAAGGAGAAGTGGAAGGGTAAGACGAAAGAGGGGATGAGAAGGATTGTGATTTAATTTTATTTTTCTTTTTAGCTCTTAAGAAAATGTAGAAAAATTAAATATTAAGTTTTGGTCAATTGAATTGGATGTGGCTGACTAGGCGGTCAATTTGTATGACTCAGCTTTTTTGTGAGCCCACTCAATAGTTCTGTTTGCCACATCATCAAAAAGTTAACGGAGTTAACGGAATCTGACGGAGATTAACGGTCAGTGACTAACGGTGAAACAATTCGTAAAGTTAGTGGCGAATAAGAAAGAAAAGTAATTCGGGTGGCAAACGTGAAAGATTTATATAATTTGAGTGACCAAACGTGTAATTTAGCCAAACTTGAAAGTAACCCATATTCTTACTGAATTGCTATTTGTCGCCCTAAAATTTAAATTATTTCGCCCTAAATTGTACTATATTGACAATTATATCCTTGTACCCAAATTCAATCCGTAATCCCTAACTTGGACCACTGCTGCCGTTCCCCCAACCCGCCGCCACTCCTCGTACGACCACCGATGTCGTTCTCCCAATCCGCCGCCGCTCCCATTCCCCACCTTGCCGTCCTCCTATCATTACTGAGAAAGAATCCCACCAGCCAGTCGCCGGAGAGCTCGTAGGCAGGTCGCTGACCATTTTCTGCTTCTGCATGGCTTCCAAAACATGATTCATTTATGCTTCTGCATTGCGTTTTCAAATAAGGATTCCCACTACTAATTACCATCCGAAGCCTGCTTCCTCAGTTGTTTCCGTATGGAAACCAGAATCACTAATGAAATTAAAGCATATATAATTGTGTATGAAGAATGACCAGTATACTTTATTATGCATTAGTTTTCGTGTTTACCTTTGGGCAAATAGCTCTCTTCCTGCCATGATATTGGGATAAGGATATTTAATTCATTTTAATGAATGTTAGGGCGACAAATAAAGAGTTTTAGGGTGACGAATAGCAATCCCCTATTCTTATATCAATAACCAGCCGGAATTACTATTTTTGTTATAACGATAATACTTTGACACAAGAAAATTGTAAATCGTAAAAAGGACGAGACTTGGATTGAAAGCTTCTCGTTCATTCATACAATAAAAATGGTACTAACTCAATGATTCTACCAAGAAGGGTCAAAGAGAAATCAATATACAACTTAAAAATGAGACTGGAACTATTAACATTGTCCTTTCATAAGGGCAATTACGAATCCAATATCAATAACTTGTTGTTGGAACTATTTAGCTTTTGACATTATTGTCCTGCACTCTTAACATCCTGATGCCTTCACTTACTGCACCAATTGAAGCAGTGTTGCCACCCATTAATGCTTGACGCCTAAACTTTCTCACCAATTTTTTCAATTTGGAGACAAATCGATTAAGCTCCCACAGAGTCTCGGTATCAAGAGCTTCAAGGTTGAGCTCAATGAAATCTCCATCCCGCCTCAAGTGGCCGTTCCTCTCCTCTGCTATTTGCACAACCAGCTGTAGCATCTTCTCCGGCAATCTCTGCAACACTATTCCTAGTTTATGCTTCTCCTCCAGACTCATCTCCCTCTTATTAGGATCATTTGCCTTAGGCTTTGAACGCTTTCCACGCTCCGCTGGTGGCATCCTCATGGCAATAATAAGTTGATTGAGCTAGGGGAAGAAGAGCAGTCGCTGATTAATTTGCCGAATCGGAAGATACGAATTGATTGCCTAATGGTAACATATTTATAGGGGAGTAATCCTAAACCTATTCGGCTATTTTTACTTGCAGCCTACTCCAAGATCAAACAATTTGTAATTATAATTAGCATCTAACCCCACGTGTACTGACCAATTATAATCCAACAATGGGTTTCTTTCAAAAAATTTCTATTTTCTTGAGTGGTAGAACGCGCAAGCAGATTTTAGGATCCAATATCTTAAGCTAAATGCCATATCTAGTTAGGGTTTTCTCAGGCTAAGACTAAGTCAACATATTTTAATTATTTCCTATAAACTATTTTTTTTTCCTATTTTTATTCTCAACATTTTTTTCCTTTGTACAAACACTAACTACCAAATTAGGACGACTCGTGATGAATGGCTTTCTGAGTTTAAATGGTCGAAGAAATAATTGATAAAAACTATTTTTAGTTCAACCGTGTAAAAGAGGGAGTCCCATGTCTACCATCTAATTTAAAGACATAACAAAAGTGCATAAGACACATGTCTACCATCAAAATTATTCACGCTTGTTAGGATTAATGTGTTAAGGAAAATAACAACTATTTTTCTTGGTTATTGGTTCAATTTTTTGTGTGGTTGACTAAACAAATTATTCATTTTTTGTTGAGTGTGGTCTATCTGGATCAAACCAGACCGCACATGCGTGGTCTGGACCGGACCGTATAGTTTGTGGTCTGGTCTGTGGTCTATACTTCAGCCTCTTGATCTGGACCATAGACCGTATATATGGTCTAGTCTGGACCAGACCAGACCACACCGTTTCCAGCCCTAAAATTAAGTGACACTCATGAAAGTCCATCCATTCAGTGAAGTTCCAAATTTGTTATACACTCTAAGTGCCGTCATACGATTAGGAACATCTTGATCAGTTAAGCAAAGATTTACCTTCGCCATGGGATAGAGTTATTTCCTTCTTTTATCCCATCTGTTTAAGTTATGGAGCGAAATTTGGCCCCAGTCAATGCAATCATTCAAAACTTTGCTCCTAAAGGCAATAATAGATACAAATACAATCAATATGGCAACTATTCCTATCTTCCGCAACTCTAGTTCTCAACAGAAAAGATGATCCACACAACCATGAAAAATAAGTTGAAAACTAAATTACAAAAATCTCCTGATCTAACCCGAAGTTACAGCTTCAACAGGCCGTATCTTGTGGCATCCACTCCCATGCACCTGTTTATGTTGGATTCATTCACTATGTTCCTTCTTCATAGCTGCAGAAACACAAGAACGAAAATCCCCCACTACTTGTTCACTCATGATTCAACTGTCGCTCCCTCGAAAAGTATAAGAGTTCTGAAAAACAGTATGCTCCGTCATTCTCTGCATTGGAACTATCCAACATTCCATTTCTCCACTTCTTGATATCACCACCTTGCAATGCAAAGAGACCAGATGCCAGCAGCTGCAGCATACCCACTTCGGTTCCGAGTCCTTCAGCATATAGAAAACGATGCATCCAGAAGAATCACATCTTATGCCAGTTCTGGTAAGGTTGCTTCCCCCACTGCTTCAACAGATGCATGCAACCAGCTGATGTGAAGAGCCCAACTGATGCAAGTGCAATCATTGTCGAGTTCTCAATGCTCTGGTAGTATCCTCTTTGCACCAACAAAAAAAGTATGCCTGCATTTGCAGGAGCTAGTGAGAGTGCGATCATCCCTCCACGTAACTCGTTCGGCACATGCCTATTTCATAGAAGAACAAAGACGATCAAAAACAGCTAATAATGACTAGTAATCGGGAAATAATATTGGTCAGTTTAGGCAAACTAACAAACCCGACGAGAGATTTGTTAAAGCTTACATTGTCCTCAATCTTGCAAGAGAAGGTATGATCAGACCCACAACCGCATGGAATAAGCAAAACAGGGATACCAAAACTGCAATTTCCTGCATGTGTAAAGAAGCCACAATGACAAATACTGAATATCAGAGAGAGATTTGGCGAACAATTATGATGTATTGAGGAGATTCAACATTTAGTACCTGGTAATCATACGCTATTACAGAGAAGGAGATTCCCAGAAGGATATATGCGTATATGAGACAATCCTCAGTACGAAGAGATGAAGGACCGGTCAATAGCCATGGGAATATTGTGCTTCCCAACATTCTTGCACCCAACAAGCAAGGATAAACCAAACCTAGATGCGCTTCTCGTCCATCAGCCTAATCTAGCACGGAAGAAGAATAAGGTTAAGCTTCAAAGCTTGAAATCCGTTCAAGGTCTAAAATTCCAAATGCAAGGGAGAAATGTTTACTCATGCGTATAAGAGTCACAAGAAAAATGGCATAAAACAAGAAGTTGATCAAAATTAAATCTGAGGTTTAAGGATAAAGAAGCAATCATACCACTACAGTCGGGGCCCACAAAATCCAAAAAATAGCGACGGAGAAATGAAGGGAAGCATGTGCAAATCCCAGGAGCCATATCCGTTTGTCTGGCAAGAGTAAATTGACATCAATAACTAACAGGCATATCAAGTCCTACCAAATCATGTTAGCGGCCACGCTATATTAGATCCTCCTATATATCCTAAAAGTGCTGGTAATTAAAAGCTATAATCCACAGAAGAACATTTAGAATGTTCAACCTAACCGATATGCCTCAGTGTTGTGAGTTGTTAGACAGTGCCTATTATCCAGACATTGCTTGACTAAAATGCATTCTGCATCGTCAGGCTAAGAAAGTGTAACGGACAGCGAGTTCCAGATGAAGCTTGAATTGATACCTTTGAAAATATGTGCATAAGACACATTATAATCTTTGGCTACTGTAGCTTTTGGGGTTTCCTTCCAGCCATTGCCGACACAGATGATGCTCATCACTGATAGAAAGATGGCTGCAGTTGATGGAGATACCATATCTTTCCCCACATTACTTCCGAGAAGCCAATTGGCAAGCACTTGGCTCAGAATTAATGATACAGACTCGAAGAAAGTCATCAGCCAAAAAGTGTCGCTCAGAGTGTCTTGCCTGAATCCTTGCTGCAGAGGCCATTCATTGTCACGATATAACACAATACTAACACTGCAAACAGAAAGGGAACACAGCAAAATAAAAATAAAAAGACACTCATCATATAACACCTACCTTCTCATTTTCGACCACAAGCATGGCCTCAAAACTGAAGGAAAATATTGAGGTAGCAAGGGACAAACATATGCTTGCCATCCAGAGACTTGGGTGAGGTGAAGTTTTCTTCCACAAACCAACAAAGAGATGCAGAGTGCAAAAGATCAAGCAGGCTTTCTTGTGACCACTACAGTAAAGTGAGCAACAATGAATTCCATCAGAAAACTTCTGAATCAAGTATAACTTGCAAGCCATATTGCATATCATATCTACCAGAGTATTACCATCCATATTTTCACAAAAATCAGACTAGAATTATGTATACTGAGCCTAAAAGAGATTAGCTTTTTCACTCCCATTAGAATCAAACAAGTAAAAAGGGGGGGAAAACAAGAACGTTGAGCTCACATTGAATCAGAAACCATTCCCAAGCCAGTACCAACAGTCAGGGCAGCTACATAACCGACACACAGAGACGTCACCATCTCCTCCTTACTGACTCCATGGAATGACAATTCGTATTCTCCAAACACCGCCCACAACCCTTCCATGACTGAAGAAACCCCACAAATTCAGTAGATGTCAATTAATGGGCGTTTACTGAATTGACATCGTTAATGTACAGAAGGGCTGACCTGAGGCTAGAGAATAGATGAGCAGAAACTTGCGCTGGAACCGGAGGAAAGCAGAGGAGGAGGAAGAAGAACCGACATTGTCCAAGGGTCCAGCGGATCGACTACTCTTGGAGGCTTTAGGTAACAGGCCAATGGAGAAGACACAGCAAACGAAAATGAAGACAAAGAGCGAAATATTCGGCAACCAGATGGAGCTCTCGATTACCGCCAACGCCATTCTCAATTACTCGAACCGATCCTCCGGTAGAAAAATTGAAACCAGAACCCTAAATATTCAGATCATGGAATTGAATTCCAATAATGGCCCTTCTGAGATCTGATCGGCGGTGAAATTCGTTGGCAAGAAGATTTAAGCATTAGAAGAATAACAAGAGACGCATCTCCTCCAGAGAAGGAGCTCGGAAGGAAGAAGACTGAAAGATAAGCAGAAGATTTTTAAGTGATCTTCCTTAGTTCCTACGAAAAAACTAGCCAACTATTATGTTTGATCCAACACTATTATAATAATGAAGTTAAAATTTGTTGGTTGTGGGTTAAACATGATTCTCAACCGGGGTTGGACCAGAACGGTCTCATCGGTTCAACCTGGACCGGATAAATCACGGGGTGCCATGAACTAGTTGGCTATCAATTCAGATTCGGTCAAATCCGATCAAATCATAAAATCTGCCTAGTTGAAACGGTTGGTTCGATCTCGGAGGATGAAGTACGATAAGTGAAGGAGAAAGCGAGGCGGAGGAAAATCAAACACTTATTCGAAATTGACACACTTGCATACAACAAATGCGCAGTGTGCTCTGACTATCGTATTTACATAAACCTGGTTGTCAAAGCAGACTATATATATATTCCAATTTCACTGTCAAAAAAACTCTAAAGCCTCTACATCCAGATGCGGGAAATGGGTTGCTACACCCATATACAAACAATTGAGTAAAAGAAAAATCATCCCACAGGTTTTGGTTGAATTTGCTCAAAATCAAAGACTTCAAACATGAGGCGCCTGACGTCTGGTTTCCCATACACGGTGTATGACAGACCATGGAGAGCTTGCTGAACCGAGGTGGTGGTTGGGTTCTTCATCCTCCGGTTATGCTCGTATCTGTCTTGGACCTGCTCGGCATAGACCATGAACTGGTGCAGCCGTTTCTCCCTTAAATACCTCCCACAGAACTTGTTCATCAGAATCCTCCTGTGCCTATCCGCCAAGAACTTCCCTGGAGCGTCTAGATGCTTCATTAACAGCCTCTCCGCCATAACAATGTCCTGAAAGATTACGAAACAATGCTTGTTCATGGGTTCATCCCAGTTTCATTAGTTGTTTGAAATGAAAACCAAGGGCTTCGTTCAGCTTCGAGTCATTTTTAAGTTCCTTACTACTTACCCTAAACAAACACACCTCAAATTTATGTATAAGAGAACCCAACATTACCTGAATCTTTTGGCCGACATACTCTAATCTCTCGTAGCAAAATCGAGGATGTTCAAACTTGTATTTTGATGGATGCAGGAAACAAAGCTGCAATGAAGAAAAATATTTGAGTGAATGTCATGCATATATATAACCATTTGGACGCTGGTGGTCCATGGTTACCTGCAATCCAAGCCCGAGTTCAATGTTCCTTGCTTCAGTAATATCCGGAATTCTATCTGTCATCTTCAAGGGATATCCAAGGGTGCGCATAACGTGGGGTCTGCTTTCGTAATCCCATAAGTTACCCCTGAACCTGTGCATACCAGGTGGAACACACGCCCTGAAAAGCCTCGGATGTGCAAACAGTGCATCTGCTGGAGGCTGCAAAGGAACCAATGTCAATGAATCAACTTTTTTTTTTAAATCGATGAATTACCAGTGACAAAATAAAATCTTATTGACAAAATCCAGCAGGCAAGGTAGAGCTTGCCTTATAAGCAGCCACATCTTGCCAACTCAGCTTGTTTCCTTCAAATTCAACAGAAACATAATCAACATCTTCAAGTTGTCTTCTTAACTTTGGCTGGCAATCCTCCGCTTCAAGATCCATCCCAAACACTTCAAAAAGAACACGGTACACCTCTGGCATCCCAAAACACAAATAAATTGCCCCAAACAAAGCCCAGAACACTGACCTGCTCACAGCGAAAGGTATTCAAATACTCGATATGAGTATGCTCTACAATGCATGCATTCTATTATCAACCAACCATAAGAATCGTAATACCAAATCCCAATTCTGCTTATCAGTAATGATTAACAGTAGCTGCATTCTACATCCCTATTGACAACATAAAGCACTAATCTCTGCACTTTATGCCAAGAATGATCGAGAGAGTTCAGAAATAGATATTATACCATTCATTTTCAATACATAGCCCTCCCATTCCCGATTTCGCACCCTAATACAACAATCCTTTGACTGGTATTATACCAAATGAAAGAAATCAAATAGTGCATTTTCGGGCCTCATCCACAATACTAGCCTCTAGCCTACTGTAATACACAGAGTACAGTTCATAAAAAAGCATACAGAATCCGAATATGGGGCAGGAATAGCAATAGAAACAGCAAATTCATTCCCGGTTTTACCATCATATCCCAAAACAACATGCAATCTACGTAAGAAACAAACACTTGAGATACCCAAAAGAGAAGCAAAACTCACTTGACCGGCTGCTCTCTTTCATTCCTCTTCAACTTATCAATATCATCGTAGGGGAAAACCAAGTTGTGCAAGCTAGCAGCTTTAATCCACTTAGCCATATTCTTCTTCCCAATCAACCCATAAACCCTCTCCCTCATCGGCCCAGGAGACTCCCTGGGATACCTCTGCAAAAGAAACTCACACATGGCCAATTCAAGCACATACTGCCCCAAGAACCACAGCCTGGAATGCCCTGACCTCACATGCCTGGCATTCGTCCTCTCGCAGCTGGGATGCTGGAAAGCCAAATACAGCAGGGTGTCAAATTGCTTCGCTGGGTTATCATCCGCGAGCCCTTCCGACGGCTCCAAAGGGTACCCTAAAGCCTGCTTGGCCTCCAGCAGGTACTCGTCCATCCAAGTCCTGTCGGCATTGTTCAGACGGGAAGAAGGCAGGCAAGAGCTCAGCAGAGGGAACTGCTTCAGGGACAATTGAGGGCTGTTGAGGAACCTCTCGGCGAGCTTCTTGTCGTCGAGCGGGGGTTTCAGGATGAAGCGCTTAGGCGGGAGTTTCTTCTTCGGGGAAGTGAATTTCTTCCGCTCTTGAAGCTCTTTGAGAAGCCGCTGGGGGCTGTTCTGCGGGAGCTCCTGTGACTCTAGTGCTACGGCGAAGACGCGGGTGGCCTTCTGGGAAGATAATTTTTTAGTGGGTAAGTGAAATTGGAGTGGGAATGGCGAGAGGGAATGAGAGAAGCAGATTTCGGATGATCTGGGGAGGGGAGAGGTGAGGGAAGGGGAGAGTTCCATTGATGGGATGGGGGAGAAGTGGAAGTTCTGGGTTTTGGGACGCGCAGGCTGGGGAATGGGGGATAAGGTGCGAGGCTAACAATTCGGTGCTTATGGAGTTATGGCCTTGTTGTTGCTGTTGTGCTTGCCTTCCGTATCCAGTGACCAGTGGAGATCTTTTCAGTACAATTGTCTGGTGAAATGATGAGTTTCGGACACGAAGAAACAAGTCCATGGGCTGGCTGAACCAGATTTCGTGATATAGACTTTTGAGGTGTAAGCCCGAGAACAGATATCTTGAGATAGGTTAATCAGAGGAAGGCCATATTATACGGAGCCCAAGACTGGGGTCTGGCTCAACACAATTTTTCAAAAGGGGGAACCCATGCAATTTTACGCTTTGCGCCTTTGCCTGAATTTGGTTAAAATAGGGTTATAGGTATAATATGCCCCTCTACTATGACGTTTTATTAAACATGCCCCTCTACTATGTTTTACATCAAACATGCCCCTGTACTTTGTAAAAATGATCAAACATGCCATTTTGTTAAAATTTTCATCCAAAAACCGTTAACCAAGGCCGAACTTTAGTTTGGGCGACACAAATTACTAAAATATCCCTAATAAATTCACTTCAGAATTTTTTTGGTTCTTTTGTATAATCAAATCATTCAAATAATTTCACTTTGAAAAGACCTAGGAAAATAAAACAGGGGACAAAAATGACATTTTCCCTCCCATTTGCCGATGTCGGGTCGTCTAAATCTCAATTCAACCATGATTGACGATTTTTTCAATGGAAATTTTAACATAAGGGCATGTTTGATAATTGTTTCACAGTATAGGGGCATATTTGATGTAAAAAATAGTAGAGGGGCATGTTTGAGAAAACGTCATAGTAAAGGGGCATATTATACTTATAACCCGTTAAAATAAAACCCACTGAGTACCTCGCCCTAGAGCTGTCAAAATCCAACCCGACCCAAGTAACCTGTCCGGTCAATTCAATTTGTAACCAGACCGCAATCTGATTTGACTACAAGTTAATAATTCAAAACCCGTCCGACTCATAACCCGATTGACCCGCAATCCGACTGACCCGTAACCCGATTACATAGCCTATAGGACATGACTAATTAGATATAGTAGATTTGAGAACGTATCATGAGTTATCCAATCTGAATAGCATTAGTCGAACTATCTCAAATGCATGCTATTTTCAGAACTTCTGATAAACAACACACTTATATGAACTAATTAGTTTAACTATTTTTAGGGCATTGAGTGATATAATTTGAAGGTTAATATATATGTAATTGCTTATTGTTGATAACTAAATTAACCATCAGTTACAACAATCATTTGCTTTAGAAAAATTCACTTAATTTGTCTACATGTTTTCTATGCTTCTATGTTTATTGCAACTTCAACACTACATGATTGTTACTTTACAACACTAAGTAAGACTTTGGCACATTTAAGTTGTATTCGAATTGAATTTTGATTTCAAACTGAGAGTTAAACTTGGTATGTTAGGTCATACAATTGCAATAACTTAAGCATATAAAAGAATACAAAATTAATGTTGCACTTTGACAAAAAAAATTAACTTTTATAAGTAGTTCTACCTTATAAGTACATATATGAATACGAGGTAGAAATAAACTGTATAAAAATTGTGAAAAATGTTTGAAATCAGTGTAATAAATAAAGTGTAAGTTATAACGTGGAAAGAGTAAGCAGCAAAATATGCTGACTCGAACCACCCGCAACCCGCCCGACCTTAACCCGATACACCCGTATCCGGATTGACCTCCAACCCGAAGAACCCGCCACCTGATTGACCTGTAACCCGATTGTACCCGAACCCGATTGAACCCGAACCCGACTAACCCACCACCCAATGAACTCGAAACCCGACTAAGCCGTAATCCGATTAAACCCAACTCGAACGTGCCCGATTGACACCTCTACCCGCCCCCAAATCGAGTAAATTATATACAATAATTTTTTCCAGAAAAATAGCGGTGGGTATTTTATAGTTCAAACTCATTGCAAGTTGATCTTCCTTCTTATTATATGCTTAATTCAACCTTTGGAGAAGAAATCAACATTCCTCTAGCCTTGGGTAGGTGAAATTCTCCTTCCTTCTTCCTTAGCTCGTAACTATCTCTCTAAACCTTGAAGAAGAAGCTCCAATCTCTCTCCAAGACTCTCCTCTTTCAAATCAACCAAATCTCCCTTATGTAGGTCTCAAGTGCACAAATCACGGTCTCACATCACACCCGTGAAGTCGACAGTGAAATTATGATCTCGGCACAAAATGCGTTGTTTCACTAACGAACTTCATGGGCTGCTAGTTGACATCACGGTTTGGAGACCGTGATCTTGACACTACCCACGAGCTGCAAGAATCCTCATGAAACCATGTGATCTTCACGATTTGAGTGCTCACTTCAAGGTCTGTGCCCCGTGATAAATGCTCCGCAACCATGATTATGTGCTTCACGGTCTTCATCCATTTTGCACAATTTTCGCTCTCTTTGTCTGACTTTCGATCCCCGTGCCAAGATTACCTACTTAGGTTTGAAACATGACAAAACACGAACAAAACCCGGGTAAACTAGCTCAAAGGATGGTGCAAACACATCAAACGTCGCAAGTAAATGGGTATAAAAGTGTGTAATCAAACCCAAAGCAAACCCCCCCCCCCCCCCCACACACACACTTGAACTTTTGCTTGTGCCCAATCAAGCCTGCTCAAACCAGTACAAATTGTAGGACAAAAACAATGGTATGCACTATCAATCATCGGTGGTGCCTCGAGAATAATCAAAGTCGAGTAAACTTTACTTCCATCTCTTCGTGCCATGCACTCTCTCAATTAAGGACCTTGTCAACTAAGAAAGTTTAGACACTTCACATATGCACAGGGGGACTCATAGAAAACATTAAAAATCCAAGGCATTAAGATTTTCAAGCCTTAACTTAAACTTACAATGCATTACACCACTTTGCAATCTTGAAAATCAAGGCATCTTTCCGTTGTAATCAAGAGTGAAATGAACATTTCCTTCCATATCAAGGCCCCATGTGGGGAAGATGATGGTCGTATTCATTGCCTGAGCACCTCTTCCCAACATGCACTTCCACTTCTCAACAATAGACGGGTTGCCACACATGTCGGGTGCAAACGAGAGCCGAGATCTCGTGGCTTGCTAAAAGAGACTTTGTCTCTTGCCATACGAGCCCGTGAGGAGGAGAGGTGTTTGGGGAATGAAAGGTAGTGAAAGATAATCAGGACGCTAGAAAGCTATCCGAACCACATCCTCAATGGCACTCCGGACCAGGAGAAGAGCACATTGACGACTCAACTCAAACACTATGCATGGTTGCCTCTCACGTGAGAACCTCAATTTCCCAACAAAAAAAAAATCAAATTGGAGCACCTTTTGCAAAAAAAAAAAAAAAATGGAGTCCTAACTTGGGAAGTCCCACACACATGTCCTAACCTCCACAACAAACATTTTCACACAACCGAGAGGAAATCGAAGTAAAGCCACTCATTATCAAAGATTCTCATGGTTCCACACTATTCCCAATAGTTCACACCATCATAATCATCAAACAACTCTAAGCATACTGAGAAAGATCATGCTTGGGGACAATTGTGTTTGGAACCCCTAAAATTTTCAATTTTAAGCAATAATCAAGGTTCCAAACACACAAAATGTAGGCCATAGACAATTCGTTTACACACATGTGCTTAGAGCCCTCAATTTTTTAAAATTTGGGCATTCATAGAGGCTCCAAAGCATTCATATCATAGGCCATAACATTCATCTACACCATTCATTTGCACACTCACCTATCATGCGATCCCCCCCCCCCCCCCCCCCACACACACACACAAGCACAACATTTTCCTCAATGGAGGAAAGATTAGGAGGGTAGCTGTCCAAAATGTTTTGGTTTTGGTAATATAGCCATGCCCATTTCATTTTTGACCATTAATGTTTTGGTTTGTTGTGCACATGAAAATAAAATAGGGAATCACGAAAGTTTGGTTTGGTTGGTTGCATGAATAATTTTGTATATTAGGTGTATCATTAATAGGTTAATTGGTTTAATTGATTTGCAGTGTTGAAACCAAACCAAATAAGCTAAATTGTTTAACCAAACCAAACCAATTATCCAAATTAACCAAATACTACAGGTTAATATGGTTACCACAGTAACCAATCCGTTTGAACAGCCCTAGATGTCATGCTTATGTTGACAGGTTACTCATGGTTACTGATCATAGAGTTACTGACCTGGTCCACTTTCATTGCTCTCAGTACCAATTACTAATTTTAGCTTGCTTCTGTCTGTCTCTATCTCTTGAGAAAACAAGAAAGAAATAGGACGAAAATAGGAAGCGGGCCTCAGACTCGGAGGCCCACACCCAAGTCTCATCGATCCCTCTCTAGGGATGTCAATCCAACCCGTAACCATGGGTACCCTACCCGACCGTAACCGGTCAATGAGGGTAATTACCCGCTTTGACGGGTTAAGGGGCGGGTACGGGTAATACCCGGTTTCAAAATAAAGAGTAGGGTACGGGTATGGTAATCGATAATACCCGCCCCGTTATACCCGCCCCGCTAACCAAAGGGTCAATTTCCCTTGAGAAATTTATTTTAGCTTGAGAAATTGAGTTTAGCTACCATTATTGATGGTGAATATGTAGACGATTATTATGTTTGTGTGGATTGTAGAAGCAAGAACAATTATTATGTGTTTGCTGTTTTTATTTGTGTGGATTGTTGAAGCTAGAACAGTTACAAGTATTGAGAATTTTTAATGGACAACCGTATATATATGCATATATGTGTATAAGTTGATACTTTAGGATTCGTACCCATAGTTACACGAATACCCATGGTTACCCGATGGGTAGGGTATGGTTATATAATTTTCATACCCGGTAGTTATTTGGTCGGGTATTTTAAAAAATTCTACCCGGCGGGTTAGGAATTGGTATAGGATAAACCTGCACCCCACCCTACCCATTGCCATCCCTACCCCTCTCCTTTCTTTCTCTCGCTATTGTTTCTCCGGTCCGGTCTTGTCCTTTTCCTTCATCCAGCCAAGCCAACCACAGAGAATTAGCGAGAAGAGAATGGTGGATGCAGAAGCTCCCAAAACTCAGCTAAAAAGATTGAAACTTTTGTGTGGGTGTGGATATGAACCAATCCCACGTGGATACCTAATACCTATTACCCGCCATTTAACATGCATCCATCTCATCTTTTCCCTTCTCCACTCTGTACTGTTATCCAGAAAATCTTCTTTCAGCCTAATCTTTATTTGTACGCACCCTGTAATTACATTCCATGCCAATGAAATTCCTATTTTTGATGGGTACCCATGAAAGGCCATTTTAGTGAGATGAGATTCCTTTATTGTAAGGCTGAGAATTGGAGCCCCCACTGTTTTGTCCTCTTCTTTGAATGTGATTACCTTTGCAGTTGGGAGGGGAGGTGCTCTTCAGCTGCAACCATAATTGAGTGGTTTGAATAAGGGAGAGAAGGCGAGGGAGGGGAAGCCAGATGTGTACAAAGAAGTCCTGCGAGATGGATGTTTCACTGCAACTACAACCCCACTTGGCCCTGTAATTGCAGTTAAGGTGTTTGATGTTTTGACTGGCTCAGGGGAGCAGCATTTGCTCTCTACTGCCATTATTAGGGAAAAGCCCAGATGGCGATATGATTCTTTCTATTAAGTAGTTGTTCTCTCTCTCTCTCGCTGCCATGGTGGAGCTTGATGATCACCAGAAGGAAGCTGCACCACCAACTACAACAACTGTTTCTTTCAATATAGCATGTCAAAAAGGAAGGAGCTTCTTTCTGCTGCCATGAAGAGAACTAGTGACTGGTTTGCTTTCTACCCTTTTTCCTGTTAGTGGCTTTACTACTCAGTATATTTAATAGTCTCTGAATCTCTTCAACAGAGTGTTGTCAGAAAAAGGCAGCCTCAGGTTCTTTAGTTTTACCTGTAATAATTTACTTATGGTTGCACCTCCTTTGTTATTCATTTCTCAGGATTTTCTCCCAGGAAATTTCCAGCGATGTTACAGTTCATGCTGGTGGAGCTTCTTTCTCATTGCATAAGGTACAACAGTGTTGAGCAAGTGCTTCTGGACTCCTGTAGTTTGTTTAATATCTGTAGTGCAGTTAAGTAGTAGAGTATTGTTCAGAATAAGTTGGGCAGCTGAACCAAAATGGAAATACTGTGAATCTGAATTTTGTGATTTGCCTCAAGATCAAATGCCTCCAAGCTAATCTTAAGTCTTAACAGGCCACAAGATTTGAATTTGGGACATTTCTCTAAATTTGTGATGTTGACAACTTTCAGTCTCTCCACTGGTTGTTAATTCCATATATGATTTGCTTCAATTGCAGTTTCCCTTGTTGTCAAAGTCAGGCTACATAAGAAAGCTAGTGTCCGAAAGTAGTGATGCTGATCTATCCGAGATTCAAATCCCCGAGATCCCCGGTGGGCCAGAAGCATTTGAACTCGCAGCAAAGTTCTGCTACGGAATCAACTTCGAGATAAGCACAGAAAACATTGCAGTCCTTCGATGCGTGGCAGAGTATCTGGAAATGACTGAAGACTGCTCAGTTGGAAACTTGGTGTCGAGAGCAGAAGCCTACCTAAACGAGGTGGTGCTCAAGAGCCTCACTGGTGCAGTTTCTGTCTTGCACCATTCGGAAAGCCTCGGCCATATTGCAGAGAAAGTGAAGCTGGTGAGCCGATGCATAGATGCCATAGCACTCATTACCTGCAATGAAACCAAATTCTCTATCTCAGGCAGGTCTGACGGTGGTACTACATTGGAGGCCCAACCAAAGCCTATAGTTCATTGGTGGGCTGAAGATTTAACTGTTCTCAGGATTGATCTATTTCAGAGAGTTCTAATTGCAATGGTGTCGAGAGGGTTCAAGCAGTATGCCCTTGGCCCTGTACTCATGCTCTATGCTCAGAAGTCCCTCCGAGGTTTGGTAAGAACTTTGCCATGAAAACTTTTGAGGGGTGATTTTGAATGTTGATTCTCGAAAGTGATAGATTTATAATAAATCCCTGGATTTTAAAAGTGATGGACAATGATGGTTATTGCTTTTTAAAATTTTGTTGTTTGGATAAGAGTGCTTTATGAGTAAGAGTTTATAAATGGATTGTGACTTTTATAGATGAAGTTGATATGAATACCTTCACTAGTCCTTTTAAGACTAAAAAATGTAAATAAATGATGACTGATTAAGCTTCAGGAGGATGAACTTACATAACTCATAAGTTGAGAAGGTTTTGGAAATATGTGTGCACGGATTTGATTCGCTCGTGACTTTGGCTCTGAAACTTTCCTTTTCCTTGATGGTGCAGGAGACATTTGGCAAGCCTAAGAAAAAAATCGACCCGCAACAAGAGCATGAAAAAAGGGTTGTTTTAGAAACCATAGTGAGCCTGCTGCCGAGGGAGAGAAATGCAATGTCTGTAAGCTTCCTATCCATGCTGCTTCGAGCTGCAATCTACCTCGAGACAACTGTTGCTTGCAGGCTTGACTTGGAGAAGAGGATGGCTTCACAGTTAGGCCAAGCTGTGCTAGACGATCTGTTGATTCCTGCATATTCATTTACAGGGGACACGCTGTTCGATGTGGATACAGTGAAGCGGATCATGATGAACTACACTGAAAGCGAAGCGGAAGCTGCTGGGAAAATCAGATTGGGTGGGTACCATGTTGGTGACGATGATTATGGCTCTCTTCAGCTGAGTGATATGGAGAGGGTTGGGAAGCTGATGGAGAATTACTTGGCTGAAATAGCCTCGGACCGGAATTTGGGCGTTTCGAAGTTCATTGGTCTTGCTGAACTTGTTCCTGAACAGTCGAGGATTGTGGAAGACGGGATATATCGAGCCATTGACATATACCTTAAGGTGCACTCCCTTAAACTCTCCTCAACGCACAGTTTAGTTTTCTGTTTTAGCACCCGAGTTACATCTTATGGATTTTTCTACAACTAGAACCCGAGTTACATGGGTCAATTTTGTAGGGTGAATGATTCGGTTCACACTTTTCTCGCCGGCAACCACACCGAACCTGTTTGTGATATAAAAAAGAGTTGGACTGAACGAATGCTATTAAATTTTGATGTCCTGCCGTATGCTTAAATTAAAGGAGGAAAACCAATCAAATGCATCATGATAATTGATAAGCTGAGTCTTCTGATAGATTGCAACAGGTGGCTCCCTGGTTTGATCTCGCTTCGCTATCACAATTAATGGTGTGTGCGTGAGAATTTTTCCTCGGTTATAAAAAAAATCATTTATTATTTCTATACTCATTTAATTTCAAAGCGAGTTTTTCGCGTAATTTATTGTGAGAATTATCATTATTAGACAACTTATTAAGTAAAAGTTAGGTAACAAGTTTAAAGGAGATGAGGGTTAAATAACCGTGCTTGTCCACTATCTTGTGATCAGTAACTGACTAACTGTGCATAACTCCCCAGTCTATTGTTAGCTTTTGTATGAGACATAATAAATACACGGAGGGGTAAAATAGTAAATAGTAAAGTAGTCATCCATTTGACAATTCGAAAAAGCAAATTTGACAACCTTGCATTGACTATTTATGGAAGGTATCTAACTATACCCTCATTGAATTTTAATCGGATATTTCTCTTTCACTTTAAGTAAAAATTAAAAATAATTTTGCACAGAAAAGTTAGATTAAATAAATTCTACAAAATGACATTCATTTTTATACATTTTTTAATAAAAAATTAATATTTTTATTACCACTCAATATCATATGGTACTGCTTGGTATGTACATAAGATTATATCACGTGGTATGGAAGTGTACCATGGTGGTCTGAATATATAATATTGTAGAATGATTGTATATATAATATTAGGATATACGTTAACACATTTCATCATCATCTATCAACAGTTACCACCCTATACAAGGGTGGCATAAAGTGGTATATTTGGTCTTGAAATTATTTTCCTCGAAAATTGTATATCCAGTAGATCACAATGAACTCTTTCCTTCTAGGTTTAATTTTTTTCAAAATTTGGGTTATAAATGAACATGGTACCAGGGTGGTATGAAGTATTATATTTGGTCATGAAAACAAGGGTGGCATAGAATGGTATATTTGGTCTTGAAACTATTTTCCTCGAAAATTGTATATCAGTAGATCACGATGAACTCTTTCCTTTTACGCTAAATTTTTCAAAATTGGAGTTAAAAATGAACATGGTACTAGGTGGTACCAAGATGGTACTAGGGGTGGTATGAAGTAGTATATTTGGTCATGAAAATTTTGCTCCATAAATTTGTAAATCTAATAGATCACAATGAACTTTTTTATTTTTGGCAAAAAGTTTCAAAATTCTAGTTAAAAATGAAGGTGATAGTAGGGTGGTATGAAATTTTTTTCTCGAATTATATTGAAATGGTTTTCATTTTATAGATCACAACAAATTTGTTTCTTCTGTGGGAAAAAAAAATTCAAATTTGAATGAAGAAAATAAAAGCCAATTAAATAAATTAGAAAAAATATAAAAAATATTTTTTTTTATCACTCCTTAGATCCGGGCTCATTTAAAACAATGAGATTATATCTGTTTATGCAAGACCAAAATATCCATTTCCAGTCAGTATCAATCCTAGTCGCAGGATTGCTTCATCTCAAATCAATATAAGTTACTGACGATGCACCGTATTCTAAGCCTATTAAAAATTCACATTCTTATCCAAAAGTGATTTTTTTCACAATTTGTCACAATGAATTATCTGATTTTTTTTTGTGAGAAATTATCTGATTTTTTATGCTTGTTTTTCGGTACAAACCATACGGACAATACAAAGTAGAGCGGCAAAGCATACAAACTAGACCGACAAACATTACAAAACATACTTAACAGTACAAAATGCACTACTTACAATACAAAACAGTAAAATTGTATTAAAAATCAAATCAATGAATACAAAGTATACAAATCGCAACACAAAATATACAAACTAGACAAACAAACATTGCAAATTACAATGTATACAATTTAGTCATATAAACATTACAAACATAATAGATAAAATGACATACTAAAATGAGAAACGAAACAAACCAGATTGATACAAAATCACAAAACATACTTACAAACATAACAAAATTGTCCAACAAACATAACAAAAAAGACGTTGTCGTCGGAATATCCCCCGCCGCCGAAAAATTCGTCGATGACGAAAAAGCTCTCCCTCTCTTTCTCGCCTGCTGGGAAAACTTAGCCATATTACTAAAGGACACCCCTTAATCACCAGATCTTAGCTCAATCGAATCCGGGGGATGGGAGGCAGACATGAATACTTACCACTATACGACAACTGTGCTTCCTATTTACCCTTATGTGTTTAATATCGTCTTAAGTTGGTTAAATCAATGTTTTGACAGGCTCATCCAGGGATAAGCGACATGGAGAGGAAGAAAGTGTGCAGCGTAATGGACTGCCAGAAACTCTCTCGTGAGGCCTGCGCTCACGCCGCACAGAACGACAGGCTCCCAGTCCAAACCGTCGTTCAAGTCCTCTTCTACGAGCAACAACGCCTTCGAGACACCATTGACAACGATAACAACACTGCCGTCGACCAATATCCCACTCCCAAGGTCCCGCTCCACTCCACCGACATCCATCCCGTCGTTGTCCCTCCTCATCATTACAACGACGAGCTCTCCATATTGAAGCGAGAGAACCAGGACCTCAAGATCGAGCTGCTCAAGATGAAAATGAAGCTCAAGGAAATCGAGAAATCGTCCAGTACTACTAGTAGTGCCAGGCCAGCAGCTGGGAGTACTACTACTCCAATGGGGATCAGCAGATCGTCACCTTCTGCAGACAAGCCTCCTCTGCCTCCTCCTAAGAAGTCGTTCATCAACTCGGTGTCGAAGAAGTTTGGGAAGATAAACCCTTTCGTGCGTCTTGATGTTGTGTCGCCATCCAAAGGTCGCACCAGGCCGCCTAAAGATCGACGCCATTCTGTATCTTGAGACCACAACAAGGGATCGTATGCGTCATGTGTTTATTTGGTATATAGTTGCGTCTGTTTCTGTATTGGCTTTTTCAGGTTTGGGTTACTACTACACTTCTCTGGTTAATTTGTGTGTTATGATAATGTAAATAATATTTTTGTAACCATTGGTTGGTGGACCAGGACAAGAACAGAGGCAACTAAAACCGGAATATTTCTGTGTTGGATGATCAATGTTTTTTTTCATGAAGTGATATGATATTTTTTTTTATGAAAAGCAAAATTAATTTCATCAAAGTTCTAACCGATGAGTAGTAATAGTCTTTACACAAACAGAGAGCCAGAACAAACTACAAGCTCTAGCTAACATTTGCAACCAAGGGAGGGAAAAGTACAACAAAACAAAGACTGCATTTCTGGAGGTATTTACATCAACAGAGGAACCACAATGCTTTCCTACTCACAGCAGCAAGAGCCAACTCTTCATCTCTCCAGTGCTTGAAGACTGAATGTCTGATTGAGATTGAGCATGCGACAGAAAGAGGCTGGAAGGATGATGTGAGGATGAACGCCGATATGAAGAGGATGAAGGAGGATTCGGGGAAAATCCCTTTTTCGAACCCTAGTAATAGAAAATTGGATTAGATGGGTGAGATTCACCCAACATTGAGTTGGAAATCAGAAACCTAATTAGGTTTAAAAAATCTTAATTGCCCACCCGCCCAGCATCCCTATGATATCCCGCCTTCTTTTTTATTCTAAGTTTGGGTTTTGGGGACAACATTTTCACCCAAATTCATATTTGCTTGGCGTTCGTGCTTGCAGAGATGGGGAGAAGATGAATGGCGAAGAAGCCTGAAGGATGAAGGTGAGTTTTGTTATAGTGGGGAGTTAGAGTACAATTAAAAAAAATGGTCTCTTGCCTCTATAAAAACGTACTCATTATTGAAAGCTTAAACGTTAATTCATAAAAAAAAAATTAATGTGAATATAATTATGATCATTATATCTTACAATTTACGGCACATACACATCCTGTAAATACAATCTTAATTGTTGGGATTTCAATTAACACTTTTTATATTCTTCATAAAATGTTTGTCAATTTATATATTAGTTAGCAACGTATTAGCGGCAATTAGTTTAGTCTCTAAAATTATTTATATAACAGCAAAATATTTTTTGCCTCCAAAAGTATTAAAAACAAATATAATAATGAAATTCCTTTTTCATAGAGTAGTTATAACAATGTGCCGCTATATGTAATATTTGAATTAAATTAAAATAAAATGTAAAAAGATAATGGTTTTAGGGGCAAATAATTTTATTTTTAGAGGCAGATAATATATTAGTCGTGTATAAGGCGTAAGATACAATTATTTTATGTGCCGCCAATTTTTGTCGTTAAAGGTCATTTTTCTTGTAGTGATATTAACCTTTACAACGCATCTTCGTGAAACTGATCTCCTATTATAACACTTGAGCATTTCATTTGCAAGACGGATCTTAACATTGATTAATCTTCCTTTGATTAAAGCAAAGTGGTTGGTACTAATTAAGGGTGGAAATCGGTACGGTATCGGTATCCCCATATCAAATATCGAAATCACGAATACCGAATTATACCCTATAATTAATCCCAATCCCAATATATAAATAATTTAGGTATCCCAATTGGTACTTTGGTATCCCAATAAGTATTATCAAATACAAAATTAATTACCTTTGCAATTAATAATTAAATATATAAATTAGATTTGATTGTTTAATTTGGGGCAAAGAGACTTAAAAGTAAAGAGTTTGCCTAAAGCTAGGATATGGATAAGGAGAATGGAGGAGAGGTGACATCTCAAATTCTTGTCATTGGTAACCTTTAATTTGACGAATTGGAGGCCGAAAGACGACTAATACTAGTGTTTGCTTTTGGTGTTATGAAAATAACAAAAGATTAGGTGAGATATGAGAGTGACTTAAACTGGAAAGTCTAAATTAAGATGGATGTGGGCTTCTAAGTTGTGAAATAGTGAGGAATGACCAAATGTTGCGTGCTATATTTCATTAATTTTTATATTTTTGGTATTTCTCTGTATTTTGGTATATACCGATCTCAATCTCGTAATCCCCAATGTAGTTAAAAGCTATCTCTTAAGCTTAAAAGCTTAAGCTTTTAAGCTCTTAACCTCTCAAATATTGTTATTTTATATAAAAAATCCTTTGGCTGCATAAGCTTTGAAAAATCTTAAAATAAGCGTTAAAAGCTTGTGAACTTGTAAAAGCTAGCTTGAGAAACGCTTATTAAAGCTTATGGTGGCCATTATATTCAAGAGGTTCGAGTAGGTTAATGGTAGGACTAATTGGGGTTTTTTAGATTGAAAAGAATAAAGCCACGCCAGCTATTACTTTTACAATTACAATTTTGAATTTTTAATTTTCGGTAATTGTATTTTGCTTTAGGTTTTAGCCGACAAGTTCAACCCTACTCTCTAGTCTCATTGATTTCTCTTTGTTTCAAGGCTTTTCTATGTTTTTTTAGAGCGCCTTCCAGTTCCCCAACCCAAGCCGCCGGCGTCCCCAATAGAACGTTGCTTTAGAAACCCACACTGCTGGCGCACCTCACTACTGCTGATACTTAGTTTATCGTGGCTGCAAACTTGCAATTTTCAAGTATAAAAGCAGGGAAACCACCGAAACCAGTCGACAAGTTCAACCCTATTGTTGCTGACTCCACCGACTTGAGCTGATCAAGCTCCCCCTGCTGCTACCAGTTCTTTCCCTGTGAATTTTCCAAGGTTTTCTCGTAATCTCTTTACTGTTTTCATTGATTGAGGGTTATGCTAATTTGATATTTTAAGTAACGAAGATAAATAGATTGTCATTAATCATGATTGCTTCTGAAGCAAGAAATTATTTTGATTTTTAATTGTGTTAGGTGTTCACTTGTTTAATTGCAGTGCGTCTTCGACAACAACAGCTAACCAATATGTCAACGCTTAATATTGGTGCATCTTCCTCACAACGTAAATCAAAGAACAAAAAAGCAGCTGGAACTCGTCATGATCCGAGGTGGGCGCATGGAATAGATGTCAATGGCGATGGAAAAACTGTGAGATGCAAGTTCTGTTCCAATGAGTACAACGGTAATATCTATCGACTGAAACATCATCTTGCAGGAACAAAGAAGAATTGTGAGCCTTGTATTAGTGTCCCTGAAGAAGTTAGGAAACAAATGTTGGAGCTATTAAATGCAAACGTAGAAGCAAAAACACTCAAGAGGAAACAATTGCATGATTATGGCCAAGATGAGGGTGTTATTGGAGATGGTGCAGAACCTAGACAGCAAGAAACCATTCCAAATATTGCAGCCAATATGAGGAAGAATGTTGCTGGTGGTAGTGGCACTAAACAAACAACTATAAGTGCAATCCTGAAGAGAGATCTGAGGAATTCTGCATGCAAAACCATATCACAATGGTTTTATGAGAATGCAATTCAATTCAATGCAACCAGAAGTTCTAAATATAATCAGATGTTTGAAGATGTAGCTCGACATGGTCCTGGGTTTAAGCCTCCTTCGTATCATGAGGTTAGAGAGACTTTTCTGAAGGAGGAAATGAAAGAAGTGGAGCATAAATTGGAGTTATTCAAGGACGAATGGAAAGATGTGGGCTGCACCATAATGTCTGATGGATGGACTGATAAGAAAAGACGATCTCTCTGTAACTTTCTGGTTAATAGTCCTCGAGGTACAGTATTTCTTGAGTCTAAAGACACTTCAAAGTTTTCTAAGACGGCTGAAAAGGTGTTTGAAATGCTAGATGCAATTGTTGAGAAGGTTGGAGAAGAAAATGTTGTGCAAATTGTGACTGATAATGCTTCAGCTTACAAAGCAGCTGGACATTTATTGATGGAGAAGAGGAAGCATCTATTTTGGACTCCATGTGCTGCTCATTGTATGGATTTAATGTTAGAGGATCTTGAGAAGCATTTGAAGGTTCACAAGACTACAATTTCCAAGGGTAGGAAGATCACAAATTTCATATATGTTAGGTCAATGTTGATTGCTATGATGAAGGAGTTCACAGAGGGGAAAGAATTGATAAGGCCAGCAGTCACAAGATTTGCTACATCATATTTGACTTTGTCATCTCTGAGTGAAAATAGGGGTCAATTGATGACAATGTTCTCTTCAGATAAGTGGAGAAAGAGCAACTTTGCTAATATTCAAGAAGGAAAAAGAGTTCAGGGGATTGTGCTTGATGGTAGGTTTTGGGCAAATGTGACAAATTGTCTAAGAGCTACACTTCCTCTTATCAAGGTTCTTCGTTTGGTCGATTCTGATGAAAACCCAGCAATGCCTTTCTTGTACTTGGAATTGACTCAAGCGAAGGAGAAGATTAAGAAGAACTTCAACAATGTGGAAAAAAGGTAGCTTTGAAGTTCAATTTCAGTTTACTAGATCATTTAATAAGCTTGTATAGTTTAAATGTGATGTTATACTTTATTCTTGTGACTTGATATCATTTTTACAGATACAAACCTATCTTGAAGATCATTGACAAGAGATGGGGCGATCAAATGAGCAGGCCATTACACTTTGCTGCATTTTGGTTAAATCCTCAAGTTCAGTATGCTAGAGGGTTTAATCATAATGATAGACAAGTGAAATCAGGATTGTATGAATGTGTGAACAGATTAACAAGGGATGACGAGGACAAGCTTAGGATAATGGAACAAATGGAGAAATTCCGCCTTGCAAAAGGCATGTTTAATCAATTTGGGGCAATGTCCTTAAAGGATAGACAACATCCTTCTGAGTGGTGGCATTCATTTGGAGATGATGTACCAGAGCTTCAAAAATTTGCCATCCGAGTGTTGAGCTTAACTTGCAGCGCTTCTGGGTGCGAGCGTAATTGGAGTGCATTTGAGAGGGTAAGAACATTTTTCTTGTTTATGTTCAACTAGTGACATTTTATATTTTCTTACTACATCTAGTCTGAGTATAATTTCTGATTTGTTTATGCCATATTGATTCTTCTAGGTTCATACTAAGAAAAGGAACAAACTGCTTGCAGAAAAGATGAATGATCTAGTGTATGTCATGACCAATACAAAGTTGTTGGGAAATCTCAAGCAGGCAAGGAAACTTGAAGTTGCCTTTGAGGATATGGACTCTGATAATGAATGGGTTTGTGGTAGTGAAACTGATGAACCACATGATGATCAATTAGAAGTTGGCGATGAGAACAGTGATCATGTTAGTCCTCTTCCCATGGATGATGATGGAGGTGATGGCGCAAGGGATGATGGAGGCCATGGTTACAGTGATGGTGGTGATGATAGTGGTGGTGATGATGATGACTTGGATTCAAATGTTGATGTTGATGCTCTGATGTAGTCTTATTTTCATTTTTGAGAACCTTAGTATGCTTTCATTTTGAGAATTTGGATATTTAAGATTGTTTATGAGTTAAGACACATGCTAGTTTGTACTATCAACTCTTTTTCTATGTTTATGAACTTTTTATGAGTTGCCTCTTACATTAGTTTAAGAGTTTTTCAAATTTGCTTATGTTCATGATCTATGATATTTTAAATAAGAGAAATTATTAAGTGTATGGTGTTTATATTATACAGAACACAGGTTGCAGTAAGGAGATTTATGATACTTTTAGATGATCCTTATAAACTTACGCTTTTACGCTTCGCTTTTACACTTACGCTTCTACCCATCATTTCGCTTAAACCTAAAAGCTATAGTTTGAATACATTGGTAATCCCGATTACCGAATAGCACTCCAAAATGAATCACAATCCCTAAAAAATAAGTCGGTATGCGACAATACCAAATAGTGATAAATTCGGTACGATATTCGGTATATCACAAATACTCGTGCGAAACTTCTAGCCCTAGTACTAATAATGCTAGGAAGCACGTCATTGATTCTATTGGACATAATGTTTTAGACACATTTGTAGAGTGGATTACAACATGCTATGGTTCTGAAAATTTTCATTACATATGCATTTGGGACTTTAGGAATGAGTGTGAGGATAGTTGAGTTTATTATCTTTCTAAGCATGTGTCCCGTGGTAAAAAAAAATTCATGAACTCCTTTGATAATATTAGATCCCAACACTGCCCAATTTTCTTAACGAATTCTACAGGGAAACCATCTAGTACATGCGATTTCTCCTTTTTCATTAAAAAAATCACCCTCCCGACATCGTTATGCCAATGCAGTCAAAATCGCGTTTTAAAACTTAAAAGTTCACGATATTACACTACTAGGACACCAAAACGCCTTCGTTTCATATAAAGTCTTTATTGTATAAAATCGAACTAAATTGCACTTTAAAGCTTAAAAGCTTACGTTTTTACGCTTCTAGTTTACCAAAACGCTTTACGCTTCTAATTCACTAAATGGGTATTCTATTCATTAAATTACTCTATAGAAAGTATATTTTAAAGGTAAATCACCAACAATTTGTTACATTTGAGATTGAAAGATACATACTAGGTACTTGGATGCATTCTTAACTACAATAGAGTAATCTAATTCACCAGTTAGGCTCTTCCCAAATTCATTAGCATAGAGGAGAAGATGACTTAGGGGTCGTTTGGATGTGGAAATTTAATGCAGTAATTGGATCCAATTACAACATAATGCAGTAATTGAGTTAAAAACCCACGTTTGGCAGCGCAAAAAGGGTATGGGAATTGGACCATTGAAATTGGCTTCAATTACCACATTCATTGTAATTGAGAATACTACATCTCCCCCTAGTAATTTGACATTACCACGTTTTCTTCCTTCTATTTCCAAATGTGTCCCTATGTCCTTCCTCTCCTTTCTTTCTTACTCCTCCGTTTTCGCCTAACTATTTCTTACAAGAGTAGCCCCTTCTTTTTCATTCATCAATGGTACCTCTTCTTCTTCATCTCCCCTCACCTTCGTATATCTCCTCTAATCCTTCGTCAATTTCTTAATTTTGGATTCGCTTAATTATCTCATTCACCGTCCATTTTCCTACTTCTCCCCATCGAATTCTCCTAAACACTTTTAATATCCGTATTTAATGAATTAAATTATTAACTTTATTGTAATTTATATATGTACTTATTATTAAAATAATTATTAAGTTTATATATTTATGGCTTTTAATGTACTATTAAATGTAATATTAGCTTAGAGATGAAGTAAAATAATTGTACGTATTTTATACGTAACTTTTCCATATCATATTTTTCTAACTATGCTTAACTTAGCAACAATTAGTAGTTAGTATAATACAACAACAACCTTTAGGATGGGTATATGTATATAAACAAAGGAGGGCATTTTTGTATTTTTACCAAAATCCACACCATCAATACCCACAAAACTAAACCCTATCCAAACGTGAAATTTTGTTCAATTTCCACAAGTCAATTCCTTGGTTTTGTAAAACATGAAAATTCAGACAAATTTCCACGTTTTCAAATTTCCACATCCAAACGACCCCTATTGTTAAGATCTATGTTTATGAACTTATTGTTAAGATGTTGTGAGTTGCTCTACTTTAGACAAAAATTGCAGGTATTTATAGCCTTATCTAAATTCCGTGCACTCATATTTTACATAGTATATGTCGTGCTTAACACATTTTTTGCTATTTTACAATATGCATAAAAAAATTACGCTTATATGCTTTGATTCTACACTTTACGATTTTACCCATTTTCCGCTTCACGATAGAATCGCGCTTTTGACTGCATTGCTCGCGACTGAGTGGTGCATACAAGTTATTGGAGTCTTCAGGTAAATGTTCAAATAGTAAAGCCTGAATTCTGATTATGTTTTATTTTTTGTTATTTTTAAATTGACAACTCGATAATTTAATAGTCAAGTGTTAGAGTTGACTGTCATCTTGACCAAGCTAGGAATTGGGAATTGAGGAAATTGAGAATAAGAGAGGGGAAAGGGGGCTGCTGCTGCGCAGCTTTGGAAGAAGAAGAGAGAAGGGAGAATCGGCACAGGAGGGAGGGAAGAGAGAGGGAGATTAGTTTTAGGTTTTCTGTAATTGATTGCTTAATGTCAAAATAACACCCTACTGCAGATTATATAATCCGCCAATTCCCTATCTCCTACCCAACTAATAAGACGTAACAATCGACTCCCTGCTTATTGCTAAATACCCCAAATAATCCCCCAATTATCAAAGACCGACAATAATACGAAATAACCAAAAGCTGCAAATTATTTGTTTCTAACATCCCCGCCTCCTTGGGAAGCCACCTTGTCCTCAAGGTTGAAGCTTCTCTTGCCCCGATCCTGGGTCCTCTGCTGCTTCATCCTCCGCCTCGTCTTCCCAGCGCGCCACCAAGAACATTAAATCAGGCTTCCCACATTTGTGACCAAAGGTGAACCTCTCGTCGCAGTTGAAGCATTTTCCCTCCCGTCTCTTCTGCTCGATCTCCGCAGGAGACAGCCTAGTAAATCCCTTGGGCGGTGCCCTCGGTCCTGTTCGAATGGCCGCGGTGGGTGGACCAGCCGTCGCACCCCCTCCCGTGCTCGATCCCGGCGCAGGGACCCCCGACCCGCTACTCGGCCCGCTACCACTTCCTCCTCCGCTCGGCTTCTGATAATGGCCGATCACTCCCCGCCAGCTAGCCAGTTCCTCCTCCTTATTACCTGCAAGACGAAAAACAGCTCGTAGTGAATCTGGCTCAAATACCCGGACAGCAGCTGCAATCTCCGGACGGAGTCCCGCCATGCATAGGCCCACCAATGTCTCTTCTGGAACGCCCTTGCATTGGTTACCCAGTTTGAAGAACTCAGCCCTATACTCCGCCACCGTCCCTGTCTGACGCAGCTTGGCCAGCTGCTCCGGAGCCCATCCTTCAGATTTTCTAAACTGATACCGCAACTCCTCCTTAAACATAGGCCAAGTGATTAGCGTATGAGCTTCTGCATAGGTCCGCTCCATCCACTCCCACCACTGCAGTGCATCTCCCTCCAAGTAGAAGGAAGCTAGGTGAGCCTTCCGTTCTTCCCTAGTGGGGTGGTTCTTGAACCATCGCTCAGCTGAGTATAACCACAGACCTGCATCCTCATGACCATTGAATTTTGGAAACTCAATGGTGGGGGGTTTAGCTCTAAACACCATGTCATCCTCTTCCTCACCACCCCGAGGGTAACCGACATTCCTCCCATAGCTTGGGGCCCCACTGTGATAGTGCTGCGAGAATCGCGGGTCCCTTTCGCATCCCCAGTCGTCCTCTTACTCCTCGTGATATCTCGTTCTTCGGCCTAACTCATTCCTCTGCCTTCGATCGCCCGTTCCCGCCCTAATAGGTTCCTTTCCGGTGCCCCGTTGATTCGCAAAAAGGGGATGAGACCCGCTGTACTCGTCGAACTGACCTTGAGGAGCTGGGTAACCCCTGCTGCCCACCTAGACTGCGTGTCCTGCCGATTGAACCGGTTCGACCGGGTTCAACCCGACCGCTGGGGGCCCGACTCATCCCTGCTCGGCCCATATCGCCTTGGCCCAATGGGCTTCGGCCCACTACTCCCGGCCGCCCCATCTTCCAGGCGCGGCCCACCTCCATCCGACTTCCTCCCGGCCCGCCTTCCATCCCGGATCGGCCCACCTGGCTGCCTTCGTCCCCTCTGTAATTCGCCCTTGACCCATACAGCTCGTTGGGCATGGCCCATGTCCAAACTCCGGCTCCAGATCCACCAACTCTTCCCCGTCCAGGCCCGCTTGCAGGTCCGGGTCCATGTACTCGGCCATCTTGGCCTTACCGCGCGTGCGCGCCACCTCCTGGGCCATTATGGTTGGTAACAGCCCGTCCTTGGTTGTTGGGCCGAAAGAGACGTGGCTCGTACGCGAGGCGGGTGGCCGGCTAGGGTTGGCCGCCGCCGATCCCCCTTTCTCGCCCGACCCGTCCTCCTCCCTGTCCGCCGAAACCTGCGCGGCGCCTTGGCCGCCGAGCGCTGCCACCGAGGCGAAGCCCTCCCCAGTCGCTCCTCCTTCCACCTGCAGCTGCCCGCCGCCGCCAGCTCCGGCCCCACCTTTCTTCCAAGCCTCTGTCAGGCTGCTCACCTGCCCCTGCAACGCCTCCATCGCCGCCTACAGCGCGTCAAGGGTGCGGCCGTGATCTCTGGCCTTCACCTGCAGCCCATTCAGCTCCTCCTCCACCCGCGCTTGCCTCTCTGTTTGCGTCTCCACGACCTTCCTCAGCTCCTCGATCTCCGTAAGATCCTCCACCACCCCGTCGAGCCCTACGTCGCCCGCCTCGGCGCCTCTCTCGGCTGCCTGAGCCGCCTTCTCTGCCGCTTTCATTGACTTCGTCGATACCATTGCTGCCTTCCCTGGTTCAAGAGCTGAAAAGAACTCACTCTCGAGCCAGGCTCTGATACCATATGTTAGAAACAAAGTTTCTAACGGGTTTGGGATTAGGGAAATTAGCTAGATCAATTAGGGATTGACCAAGCTAGGAATTGGAAATTGAGGAAATTGAGAATAAGAGAGGGGAAAGGGGGTTGCTGCTGCGCAGCTTTGGGAGAAGAAGAGAGAAGGGAGGGTCGGCGCAGGAGGGAGGGAAGAGAGAGGGAGATTAGTTTTAGGTTTTCTGTAATTGATTGGTTAATGTCAAAATAACACCCTACTGCAGATTATATAATCCGCCAATTCCCTATCTCCTACCCAACTAATAAAACGTAACAATCGACTCCCTGTTTATTGCTAAATACCCCAAATAATCCCCAATTATCAAAGACCAACAATAATACGAAATAACCAAAAGCTGCAAATTATTTGTTTCTAACACTCACCACCATAGAGACCTGGTTCTCATGTCCTAGACCCTTACCAAGTTACAACTGTACGTGGGCACCGGGCCATGCCGCCCACGGGCTAGCACGGCACGGCACGGTTAGAGCACGGCACGAGCACGGGCACGAAATAAATGGGCCAGTCCGGCACGAGCACGAATAATTTATGGGCCGTGTCGGGCCTAAACTTCATTAGCACGGGCACGAGCACGGGCACGGCACGGTATATAAGTGGGCCGTGTAGGGCCTAATATTTTCGAGACTTTATTGAGTATAAGAACGGACAGGGCACGAAAATAATATTTATTTGATAGAAAATAACTATTAAAAAAATTATAGGTTCAAATATTACAAAACACACGTAGAAAAATAATTATTTGTTGTTGTTAGAAGTGTCATAAAGATATATACGTAATTACTAACATAAGTAAAAATGGACAAAGAATTAAACAAAGTCAAATCACACTCGCTATACTTTCAATTTTTTGTTCCCCCTATTTGTTACTTTTCTCAAACATTATCGGTTAATACTGTCTTGCCCCGTCCAATTTTCACCTTCTTTTTCATTCTCTCTTTTGTTTTCTTCCTTTTCATTAAATACGAATACGAGCATGGCACGAGCACGAATAGGCACGACACGATTCGAACCGTGCCCGGGCCTGGGCCGGGCCTAGCAAAGTTGACAAATGGCCGTGCCAAGCACGGCACGAAATAAATTGGCCCGAAGCGTGCCCGTGTCGTGCCGGCCCAAGTATGGCCCAGCGCCCATATACAGTTACAACCCAATTAAAAGTCCTCCTGAAAAGTTAGTGGTGACCCGATTTTAGAGATTCAGTTGCACTGCAAAGTGTTTAGGAGCTAGCTAGCTTCATGACATAGAGATGACAGGATTAAGAGTTATAACATGCACCTTTTTTTGCATGAATTATGGTCCTGACCCCAGTGATTAAGTAAAGAGTGATCATCTTCATATTCTAAATCCCGGTGAGGACCTAGTTTGCTCAACATCTTATTTTGTGTGACTTAATATATGTGTTTGGACAGCAAGGTGTACCGGCTCATTAATCTTGTTCGCGACTGTTTCTTTAAGTTTAATGAGGAGTTTTCACTGTCATAAACTTGTTGTACGTGTTTGAATGTCGTCTATGGTGACTGGTGGTTGCTAGTGTCTCTCTCGTGTTGCTTCAGTTTGTAGTTTGTACTATAATATAAAAGTACAAATTCAGTTTGTATCATAAATCAATTTTTTTTAAATTTATATATATATATATATATATATATATATATATATATATATATATGGGGTACCGCATACCCTGAGTATGAAAACGCTATCTAGACCTCGAATTAGCAGGGTTTTTGGGCATGATACTATACCCTAACCCTTAATGAGTGAACCCTAGGTCCTAATTATCTAAATCATAAACTATAAACTCTAAGATGGTGGATTGATTTTTTTGCCTATATTTAAACGAATCATAACCGTCGATTATTATTTCTAACTAAATTGATCTTGGGGTATAAGATTTAGAGAATTGAGACCTATATTTTGATCTTTATGGATTAGAGTATAGTATCATGTTCGAAAGATCAGTCAATTTAACCCGGGGTACCGTAGAACTCGCCATATATATATATATATATATATATATAGGTACAAACGCTAAAAGTACAAGTTCCACTTGTACCATATAAAAATTTGCTTAAACCAAAAGTGATTTCATTAACAAGTAATAAACCAGATAAACTTAGAACTTTTATTTGTTAAGTTAGATCTGATAAACCACATCCCCAGTATTGTATTTGAATAAAATGCATCCAAACCCCCCGAAAATCCGCTCCTATCTCATCCCACGAATCATACAAAATTTAAACATTCCGCGAGACCAAACTAGCATTACATCATAATTTATCATTCATATAAACACGTAACAACAGAAGAAAAAATGCCGAAGTAGCTTACAAATAGTGGAGATAGTGACTAATGACGCCACTTTGGATCCTACCTGCACCAGCTCGCTCCGTGACAGACAACAAAACAGTGCAAGGCCACCACCACAGACACAGATAACCATTATTTTTTCCTACTTTCTGATTTGAGTTACTGTGCAGAATAATAAAAGGGTTTAAAGTTGAGACAAAATTAAGCAATCTCAAGATTAGAGAGCCCCTGCAACTAATTTCTCTAGATTTGAGGACACAGCATGCAGTTTGGTCCAGGCAGTGCATCATCTGCTATCTTATCTGAACTTCGTTTCAGTGAAGTAAAAAGTGGGAAAAGGAAAAAGATAGAAGAACACCATCTTTCTTTCTTTCTTTCTTTCTTTCTTATCTCAAGTTAGTGACAGACTTTTCCGGGTAAAGTGGAGGGGAAAGAGGTCAAATAAGGGACAGGCGTGCACTAGTGGGCAATGCATGCCCCTTAGTTGATTATCATATCACCCCAAAATAATAATGCACTTCTTCCCAACAGCTCACATTTGCTTATATAATACCAATAATGCTGCTGCTATTCGATGAATGTATGTTTCATGAGACAGATCACTTTATGCAACAATCTCTCTGAAAAGCCAGAGCACCCTTTTCTTCTTCTTCTTCTTCTTTTCATTTGTTTCAGGGGAATCTATTGTTCATCCGGTGGCCGACAAACTAATATATACCAGCTCTGCTTCAATGGCTGAGAAGGGTGGGGTTAGTAAGAAGGAAAAAAAGATTCCTTCGTTTTCCATGGTGTCATCAAAACAGGACTCTTTCGGGTTCTGTCTATTATGGTATGGTTCAGACTTTTTTCAAGGAGGGGAAAAAGCAGAAAGCAATAACCTTGGATTTCCCAATACCAGAGTAGAGTTTCCTTAGGAATAAAGGAAACCCACAAGTTTGGTTCCAGAAACTGGACAGAAATAATAGTAGGAAATTTGCAGAAAGATCTTGTAAAAAGACTTCCCAGATTGAGAGGAAAAGAAGAAAGATTTGGGTTTCATAATAAAATTGGGTATCTGCCCTCTATCCATCCATTGACTTGTCGAGAATAAGATCTTCCCCACTTTCTTTTCTTCTTTTGTAGCTTCTGTTGACAGCCATAAACTCACATAAGATTTTTCAGGAAATTTCATTTCGGCTGATCTAATACATTTATGTTTGAGAATTAACGATTTCTTAAGAATTTGAGTTGTTGAGAGAAACTTAATTATGGTAACATTAATACGAAACATTTTTTTTTCCTTGCATAAATTTTCATGCTGTTTGTTTCTGCAATATTGACATCAACAAGCAAAGAGTGGTGAGAGAGAGAGAGAGAGTTAAAACTTTAGATTCCCACCCTGAAAATCAGCAAAGAGGGAAGTAGTCAATTGAGAAACCTGGAGGTAGCTAACTAAGACTAGTTGATTTGAGAGCTCAAAAACAAAGCAGTCAGTCATCTTTACACCAAAGCCTGACATATCCTTCCTGAAACCCTTCCATCTAGCCATGAAAAAGGAAAAATTAACCATGGAAAAGAAAACCAGAAGAATAAGAAGAAGAAAAAAAACCCCATCTTTCCAGACTACCATCCAATTCACAAGCTGACTTGATACTTTATTTGTTATTTCAAGTCATTTTGAGGCTGAGAACCTGGTAAAGCCAGGGAGGCTGCTGCTGCTGCTTTAATCTACTATCCTGTTGTTGTTGCCTTGTCAGCTGTTCATTATTATCAACATTGCTATTCTGCTTCTGCTTCTTCATCATCCCATTTTCCGGATCATCTACTCTGCTGCTGCCTAATTTATTGCTCCTCCTGTTAATACGACTTGACCCGGTTGAAGATGAAGACAGGCTTCCACCTCCTGATTCTGAAGTCAACGCTGTCTCCTCTTGACATAGTTTCTTCCTCCTTGAACAGTAACTAGCTGGCCCCAGTGTTAGCTCAATCTCACACTCCTCCATGACTACTGTTCCATTCCTTTCTTCTTCAACATGATCCCCGTTGGACTCTGCGAATTCCTCTGCTGCTGGCCTTCTTTCCAAGTCCAGCTTCACTGCTAACTTGTCATGATGATGATGATGATTAGAAGGAGGAGCAGCAACTACAATGTTGCTGACATTGTTGCTCCTGGAGTTGAAACTGAATCCATTATTCCACAACTCCTGGTGCTTATTGGAGGGAATCTGATGTTGGTTGTTGTTGGTGTTCTTGTTGGTTTTGCCAATGCTTCTCATCATTAGTTTCTGGATCCTGTACAGCCTGTGGAGTTCATATACCTGCAAGAAGAACAACAATCAACACAGATAACATAAATATATCAATTTCTCTAATACTAAATTGGAAACATTCATACAGATTATCTAAACTCCAGAACTTGGACAGTGAAAAGAAGGGTACCTGTTCTTTGAATGTTTCTTCATGCTTTAGCATGGCTAGTCTCATGTATTCCTTGTCATAAGGCTTCAGAACTCTCTCCATTTTTTGAGGCAGTGCAAGTGGCAGAACAAAGGAAAGTAAAGAACAAGTCTTTCTGGTTTAGAGATTATTATCAGATGATCTGGATCCACATGTGTGTGGCAAAACAGACAGAGCAACTGTTTTTTGTTGACTTTTCTGGCACCTGAATATGAAGGCCAGAGAGACACAGGTAAGTTTTAACTTGTATCTGGGGTGGGAAGGAATGAAAAAGAAATATCTCCAGAAATAGCAGCATGCCATGTACATATTTCCATGACACAGTTTGAAAAGAAAGCAAAAAAAAAAAAAATATCAAAGCACAAGTACTATGATTTTTTGTCTGTTAGTTGGACAATTGCTTATGAGTTATTCCTTTCAAAATCCAGTTGGGCCACATTCATCATTCAATTCCCCTTCATTTGCTAGACAAAAACATCAATGAAAAGAAACCCAAAAGAGGGTTGTGCTGATTGGTGGAATTAACTTTTTGACCTACACATGTGATAATTAGGAGGGGAAATCCCCCAACACCAATCAACAAATAATGCATCAACTTCTCCAAGAAAAGAAAAGCTCTTCCCTTTTTCTTACCAGATGAAGGAACCACATGACTCCATCCATACACATGGGATTGTCATTAGATGGATCCAAGAAATTTGTCAACCCACATGTAGTTAATTAAACATGGGGGAATTTATTAATCATAGTTTCAGGGTAATTAAGAAAATGTTCCTTCTTGCTTTTGAAGTGAACTCATCCTATTACACTACTTCTGATCCTTACAAACAGTAAAAACACACTTAAATGACTATTGATGAGGTTGAAGCTAAAGGAAGACTTCAATTATGGTTTCCAAAGAAAGTTGGGACTTTTGAAACATTACAAAAGATGATAGTTCAAGAAAAGGAAGTGAGCAGAAGGGAACTGCACAATCTGCATATTAAACATCTATATTCTTCTTCCTAGTCTGTCTTAATCATGCAAGATGTGGGTGGAAAGGTGGTGACTAAAGACAAATACAAATTAAGAGTGAAGGATATAGCTCACCTGGCTTCAAATGATGAAGATGATGAAGGATCAGCTGGTATGAGAAGATGAAAGAGGGAGGAGGTGTTGTTGCTTGCCTTGTGATTCTGATTGTGAAGGAAGAACAACTTTTTTGCAGGGAGGAGGGAAAAAAGCCAACTGTTGGGGTCTTGTTGTTTTTATTGTTGTTTTTGCCCCAAGAGGAATACAAGAAGAAAGGAGGGAGGGAGAGAGAGAGAGCCACACAGGACTAGAGAGGGAGAGGGGAAAAAAAGATTTGAAGTTTGTTTGGTATGGGGAAAGAAAGCCTTTGCCTCCACATTCTCCATCAGTATATACTCCACTAGATTGCCATAAAATATACAGATTTTGTTTTCCATTTTCCCTTTTTTCTTTTGGTACAAAATACTAGATAATTATAATAAGCTTGCTCTCTCTCTCTCTCTCTCTCTTTCTCATTCAGCAGAAGTAGATCATGCCATGAAGAGGAATTTAAGATTGTTTTAGTAAAATTAAATAGTAAACACAGAAATCAAAGTGGGGGGAAGCTGTGTCAGGCTGGCCAATAAGCAAGCTGGGCATTGTCTGCCTAGCTAGGGTTTTGGAATTTGGATCCATGGAGGCATGCCCACAAATCCCACTGCATTTGCCCAATCCCATTGTGAAACATACATTACATTACATTACAGGCAGATCAGATCAGATGAGATGCCTCTCCCAAACACAAATTATTCAAAATCATGTAAATATATACATATTTCCTTGTTTTTCTTAAACAACCATATTTAATTTGAAAAAAAAAATATTCCTCCATTCATATGCAAACATTGTGAGTCATTGTTTGGGATCACAACAAGAAGGGAGTGGTGTGCCAGCTCTAATTAGTAATATAGTTGTGGGAATATTTTGGTTGGGGCTTTACAACAATGATGAGAGATGAACAGCTTAGCCATGAACCACATGCCATACAAAGTGGGGAAAAAATATTCATATATTTATTTGTATATGTAATAATATTAATCATCATTAGGGGAAGAGACAGATTCATTTTCTTAGGATTAATCACTCTGCTCGCTCTTTTGTAGTATGCCTAAAAAAAAATGCTCGTTCAAAACTAAATATACCATGGTAACCCAAGATCATATGAGGATTGTTCACCGCAAAAAGCGAATTTATAGAATTATCCACCCTTTTAACTTTTGTGTTATAGCTAGTGTACGTTTGCGGGTAGAATTTGGCAGAAATGTCAAATTATCATTATCAATTTTGATGCATAATTGAATTTTTGCAGCTCACCTTAGTTATCGATTAATATTAATTATAGTTACTCGAATTGTTGAAGAAGTATTTGTCCTTCTCTTACAGAACTTTCAATGGAAACTAATTAATTAAGATTTTATAACCGTAAATGCAACCGTTGTACTAAAAGAAACTATAATTGAGTGGGCAGTAACTATGGGGTCGTTTGGTTTTGGTGATAGTTTGGTTGTGATAGTTACAATGCATGCAATGTCCACAATGCATCGTTTTTTTTAAATTTTCTTCGCAAACAATATATCCATTGTTTGCTTTATTTGACACTTTTGAGTGATAGTTAAAATCTCAAGTTTTCGTTGAGATTGTTTGATGGAGATAGTTGTGTTTTCTTATTCTTCCAAATATGTTCATACCTTTTTATGTGTGTTGGTTTTTTATATTAAAAACAAAGGGTAAAAGTGACATTTCACCCAAAAAAAATGATATTATGTATTTAAATACTATAATGACTATCACAGAAACCAAACAATATAAACGAGAATACACCAATTTTCTAATATATTTATATATTATTATGCATACATGGATGATAATACATCGATTTAACTATCTACAAAACCAAATGAGTCCTATATCTCTGCTGGATTGGCAATCCAGCTCTAAATAATCGAAGCTGATTATTTAAGGGTGGCAGATCGTGGGCTCCCGGCCGACACGTTGATCTCAGCCGTACGTTTAGTAGGCTCCGCTAAATTAATAATATCAACTTCTCTCCCCCTTGCCTCCAAAACTAAGCTAATTTGTACAGATCCTTCTACGAAATATATCAATGAAAAATCAATGAACAAGACAGATTCGATTTAGAATAAAAAAGAAAAATAAAATAAAACAATGGCCACGAGATCTCAAATCTGATACACAGAATAGAGCCTCCTTCGTGAGTTCAAAATATTTTTGGTTCTAATAATTTTCCAATTTTATAATACGAATTTGTTAATTATATCATCTCTCTATGTAGTGCAGGGATATTTAAGATTAACAATTCAGAGGATTGGCCTGTAGTGCTCGGGGAAACACGTTAAACAAATGCCACCATATAACTTTTTTTCTAACCAAAATTACTACTTTATATTTTGGGTAAATTGTAAGTTTGATCAATGAATTTACTAAAAAGGTTTATATAGTTGTTAAAAAATTATAATTTCATTCGTGATCATTGAAATTAGTTAAACATTTCAAGTTTAATCATTCTCCGTCCAACTCCATTAAATTAGGCTGATGTGGCAGTCAAATCTCATAGTTGACTGTTAAGTGTGTGACTTTGAATGATGAATTTGCATATTTCGTATCTAATAGTACATTTATATACGATAACGACTAGCGTACTGCTAATATATATTATTCCAAGTGATATGGTTATTGGATGAATTTCGTTGTAGTTCGACAAATATAAATTGTCAATTGCCATTTTGTAATTTGTTGATCTCCAGGTTTGAGTTTAAAGAATATATATATTCATGGTCTAAGTAACAAAACTCAACGCGAGTACAATAAGGTAAGCGTACACCTAACATACGCTAGTTTGATGCACTCACTTTTTTTTTTGTTTTGCACTCAATGCACTCACCTCATAACCGTCATTTTGGGTAGGCGATTCATGTGAAAACGATGTCAATTGTCACTTGTGATACGATGGATAAGAAAGCAAATGCATTTATACAAAATTATGCAAGATTTACTTTAATTTTAATGATTTAGGATTTAGGAATTTAGAGTTAGGGGTTAGGTTTACAATTTGGGGTTTAGGGTTGGGATTCAAATTGAAGGTTTAGAACTTAGGATATCCATTGATTAATTGTGAATTTGTGATCCTATGTTATCATCATATTAGACTAATGCTATCAAATAAATTAAAATTTGATGTCTTATGGCTACTTTTAGAGTTGAATGCACCAAAAAAGTGAGTACACCGATGTAGCCACCATAACGATGTCAATTATCACTTGTGATATGATTAACAAGAAAATGATTGAATCTGCACAAAAATAATTCAAAATTTACTTTGATTTGAAAGTCTTAGAGTTCGGGGATTTAGGGTTAGGTTTAGGATATATAATTTGGAGTTTTGAGTTTGTGTTCAAAATTGAAGGTCATGTCTTTGATTTTAGGATTTATAATTTAGGGTTTAGGATTTAGAGTTGGAATTAATCGAATTTTAGGACATGATACTATACTTTAACCCTTGAGTGAACCTTAAATATAAATTAATTTGATCTTAGTATATGAGATTTGTAGAATTAAAACATAGATGTTAATCTTTAAAGATTAGGGTATAATACCAAGTCCACCAACCTTCAGCCAGTTCAAGGTCTAGATAGTGGTGTTGTCAGGAATTCATCCAAGGCAAGTCCAACATGGAGAATGAAACATAACATAAGTTCATGTTATTTTCATATTCTGAAAATTTTCTAAAATATATTTATCATGCAAATTATGGAGAACATCATTCTTAAAATGCCCCACCAAAAAATCATTCAACGTTTCATCACTTTTCTGATTTTGAAGTGTTTCTTCACATTATTCATTGCAGTAAGTGTTCAACACTTACAATGTCAACTTGTAATAACAAAAACCCTTAAGTTTTGAGTTATTGTTCATATTAAACTCAATCCAAAGTTACATAAAAATTTACTACTATATTTTTTTGAGCCAAGGTGGTGCAAATGACCTACCTTGGTCTCAAATGGCTCCACTACTAGATCTAGATATCATTTTCTTACACAAGCATGTCATAGCTTTGATTATACTCAACGTTCGATAGAACATCAATCCATATATATATATATATATATATATATATATTCTGAACTTTCTTCATACGAACATTATCATATATACTTTTTGGACTTTGCTACGGTGACTTGCAAGTCACCGTAACTTGTACATTTCGGTCGACCGAAAGTTAAGAATGGTCGACCGAATCTACCGATTCAGTTTTATTACTGTCAACAACGCGGTTGACCTTGTAAATCAAATGGTCGACTTCTTTAGAAAGCGAACAACACAAAAGGTCGACCTCATATGTTAAAACGGCTGACCTTATGCATTAAAAGGTCGACCTCATTTTTGAAAAGTCAACCTCTATCGCATTAATTAATCAATATGAAACTAGGACTTATTTCCGAAAATAGTAGAAAAGTTCGATTTGTGAATTACGTGGTCGACCGAATCTACACTGTATCTGTATTGAATAAGGATTCCAACACTAGAAAGGTAACCCTAACTTGTATGCTACTTAATTCACCCTAAGCTCGTTCTAAATATCTATAAACAAGAATATATGTCACAGTGACCGCCACTCAAACACTGGATTTGGATTTTTTAGGATTAGAGTTTTGATGAAAAATCACAAAAATTCGAAGGTTATCGGCTAATTTTCCTATAAGCGGTCGACCTCTCACAGCATGCGATCGACCACGAAACCAACACTTTTGATCTACGTTTCACGTCAAGGGGGATAGATGAATGGATAGGAGTTTAGTCTTCTATATGGTCGATCTGTTACTGTAATTGGTCAAACATTTCGGTAATGACTGTCATCAAGTGGTCGACCTCCTTTTATTTACAAGCCACCATTTTGCTTCTGACTACACTTAAAGGTCGACCAATTTTTTAGCGTGGTCGACCATTTCAGTATCAACTAACTTAAAACGTTCGACCAGTATATGTTAATGGTCGACCGTGATTTTCCATCAGAGTGACCATGATAATGAATTCGGTCGACCGAAACTACGCATAGGCCGACCGAATTGTGCACGTTACGGTGACTTGCAAGTAAAATGAAATAATCATTTACTCATTTGTTGACAAATATTTTGTACTATAGGAAAAAAAAAACAAATAAAATGAAATAATCATTTACTCATTCATTTGTTCGATGCTTTGTTGGGTTGGTGAGGACTGAGGTGGGATATGATATGAGTAGTACTGGTTCATCTCAGATGGGGGAGAGAGAGAGAGACGACC